TCTCGTGCAGTTCCGTAGGTCAGAAGTCTGACACTGGACAAAAATCAACGTGTCAGTACGGCTGTGTACCTTCCGGAGGCTCTGGGGGTGAATCCATTTCCTCGCCTTTTCCAGCTTCTGGAGGCCACCACATTCCTTGGCTCACAGCCCCTTCCTCCATCTTCAAAGCCAGCAATGGTGAGGTGAGCCCTCTTCCAATTTTAAGGATGCTTGGGGACCCACCTCAATAATCCAGGATGATCTCCCCAACTCAAGGCCATCTAATTAGCTCCGTGAATTCTAGCTGCAGCCTTAATTTCCCTTTTCTGTGGCACCTCACACATTCCCAGGTTCTGGAGATTAGGACGTGAACGTCTCTGAGGAGCCATGATCCTGCTACCACACCCCTCCACAAATGTTGCTTTATCTGTACCAACCCTCCTCCCCTACAGCTGAGAAACAGAAGTCCCTTCTGTTGTTCAAGGCAAATCCCTCTCTGCTTATATCCTGGGGCTCATGCCCACTCTGGGGCCCTGAATCTCTTGCTCTCCACCAACTCCTTCCTCCCCATAGATGATACACTTAAGTCTCTTCCTTCAAAAAGCACATTCTCGGGGCGCCCGGGTGGCTCAGTCAGTTAAGCGTCTGACTTCGGCTCAGGTCATGATCCCAGGGTTCTGGGATCGAGCTCCCTGCTTGGCGGGGGAGCCTGCTTCTCCCTCTCTCTCTGCCCCTCCCCCTGCTTGTGTTCCTTCATGCTCTCTCAAATAAGTAGAATCTTAAAAAAAAAAAAAAAAAAAAGGCACATTCTCCTGGTCCACTCTCCCAATAGCTATGACCCAATCTCTCTTCTTTCTTTATACTCAACTCTCTAGAAAGAGCAGCGTGGCCCTGTCTATCCTTCCTTCCTTCCTTCATTCATTCACTGACTCATGCATTCAGATAAATATCTGTTGTGCACCTACCACGTGCCAGAGGCCCTGCTGGGTGATTTTATCCGCAAATCTGTTTTTCTGTATACAGTATGCTCAGCATGTCCCAAACAGGCCTCAGCACTGCCCCCATTTGCTCCTCCACCCTGATATTCTCTCTACTCATCCACACTCCAGGCCCAGTCCTCTATGTCTGATCAACTACAAGAGCCTCCAACCGGCCTGTCCCCAGTCTTGCCACCCTGCAACCCACCCTCCACTGGCTGCCACAGTGGCTCGCTTTTTATCACGTCCCTCCCCTGCCCCAGTGGACCCCTTCAGTGGCTCCTATGACCTAGAGAAGGAAATACCCGTTCTTTACCGTAGCCCGGAGGGAGTTCCTTGACCAGCCCCTGCCTACGTCTCGATCCTCTCCCAGTCCCGTGCACCTTACGATCCGGGAACACCAACTTTCTTTGGGTTCTGTACATACTGCATCACGTTTAAAGTACCAGATCCTTCGATTTGTACTGTTCCCTTCTCTTTGTTGTTTTACCATGTATACACGCCAAAACAAGATTTTGTTTGGTTTTGAACTTCAACAAATGGAGTACTATTGTATATATTCTTTTGTTTCTGGCTTCTTTCAACCAACAAGCTTATGAGAGTCATCCGTGTTGTATGTAGCTGTGGTTTGATCATTCGTCCTGGGTGCATATAATTCCATTGTGGGAATACGCCACAATTCATCCGTTCTACTGTAGATGGGTATTTGAGGTGTTTCAAGTTTTGGGGGGGCATTAGAGACAATGCAATGAATATTCTTGTACGTGTCTTTTGGTGCATAGAAGTTCTCATTTCTCAAGGGCATCTATATGCCTGAGAGTGGGAATGCTACATCATAGGGTAGGCATCAATTTTACCAGATGATGCCAACTGTTCTTCAAAGCAGTGTATGAGAATTCCTATCGGCCCACAACCTCTTTAATGCTTGGGATTGCCAGACTTTTAAAAGTTTTGCCAATACGTGGGTGTGGGATAGTATCTCAGTGTGGTTTGAACGTGCATTTCTCCAGACAGATGTGACTGAGCTCCTACTTAACTTTCAAGACTCTGTTCTGACGGCATTCCCGAGAAGTTCCTCCCTGACCTCCCATCCTTTGTCAGAGCAGGCGGCAATTAGCCGTTAACCGAACCGTCTTCCCTCTAGGCCAGGCGCTCCTTGAAGGAGGCCACTGTTTTATTCATTTCTGTTTCCAAATAAAAAACGGCTGGCACAGGTCTGGGTCATAGTAGACAGTCTTTGTTGAAGTGACCTTACTTTATAAAAGCACTCCTGGTTCCGAGCCTTAGTCTCATCTATAAAATGACCCAAAAAAACCCCCCAAAAACCAAAACAAAACCCTATCCATTTTATAAGGCTGTGGGGATGCTAGATAGTATAGGGTTCGGCACACATACCCCCAGTAAACAGCTCCCTTTCCTCCATTTAGGGACCAAGGGAACTGAAAGCACATGGTCTGGCTTTGGATAGATGCAAGGATAGAAAGGATAGCCAGAACCGGGGGCAAAGCCAGAGGCAACTAGAAGGCTAGATTTTCCCTGAGATGTCACGAAATGGATGGAGCTGGCCTTTACCTAAAGTAACTGTATAGCTGGTGACGGGACAGCCTAGCAGCGTCTCGACCTCTCTCAGCCTGCATTCACCCGCCATCTGAAGCTGGAAGGACTGAGGCACAGTAAGCATTATAATGCCCCTCCCCCAAACTATGTCCACCTCCTAATCCCCAGAACCTGGGAATACGGTAGCTTACACAGCAAGGGGGGGTTAAGGTAGCGGAGGGAATTAAGGTTATCAGTTAGCTGGCCCTGAGACGGGTAGACTAGCCTAGGTTATCCAGGTGGGCCCGGTGTTGCCAGGGGCCTGTGAATGTCAATGAGGGAGGAAGAAGAGTCAGAGTCCGAACATTTGAAGATGCTCTGCTGCTGGCTTTAGAGACGGGAACGGGCCACGGATCCGGGGAAGCAGGCGGCCACAAGAAGCCGGAAAAGGAAAAGGACTCTCCCCTAGGGCCTCCAGAACGAACGCAGCCCTGCCGGCACCTTGACTTTAGGCCAGTGAGACCAATTTCAGACTTCTGACCTCTAGGACTGTAAGAAGACAAATGCCTTGTAAGATAATCACCACTAAGTTTGTGGTGATTTCTTGTAGCAGAAACAGGAAGCTAATATGTGAGGCAAGTGCCGTTTTGTGCCATAAATCTTATATGGGCACGAGTGATTAAAATGCATTTTCTGGGAAGGGCCATTTGAACTGGAAGGAACCTTCGAGAACGTGAAGCCCATACCCTAGCTGAACAGTGGACGCTGAGGCCTCCTCCAGGCCTCCAGATCCATCACATCCGGGAGCCGGGAGTGCCTCACACCTTCCATCCAAGAAGCAGTTCCAGAGCTCAGACAGAAGCCCAGGTCTCCATGCATCCTGACTAAGACAAGTTTGTGTGATCAGGCCCCCGAAACGAGGTGAACGACTTTCTTTTGTAATTTATATGGAATGCACTGGGAAATGCAGTCAATTTCAGAAGCACATAAGCATTACCAGCTGTAAATGAGTAAGTCATGTTGTCCAAAGCTACTGGAAAATGAACCGTCAGGACCTAACAGTCATGTGTAAATGTGTAGCTACTCTATGTGGTTAAATACATTATTGCCTTCGCAAATAAGGACTAATCCATGTCTGAATCTAAGCCTCATAAGGAAATGAGCATGCTTCATTTTGCTGATCTTTCATCTTCCAAATACACTTAATACAAAAGACTTCGCTAACAATTCCCTAATTAAGTTATAAGCCCACCAATAGATGTTGGAGGATTAGACTCACTTCAAGTATTGGTATTCCAGCATCGTGCTTTTAGTGAGGGATTCTGTGAACCTCCAACAATTCAACCGCAATCTATTTCAACCACAATATTTTCCTGCAGATGTGCTAATCCTCCTTATTTGTGGGATGCGCCTTGCATATGTTTCTTATTTGCTTTGGGGGTCCCCTGTGCTTCTGCTCTGATGGCCACGTCCTCCAGTCACAGGTGTAGATACTGTGTGGAAAACTCTCATAATTAAGAACATTCCCTTTATATGGTCCTGCTTTCGTCCAATGCCCCACATGCCGCAAGAGCTGTCTGAATGACCAACACCACAAATCTGTGTTCTGTGGAGAGGCCTGCAGGTGACGAACTACTAGTCAGCTTGTTTTGAGAGTTTTGAGTATTATTCCTACCAAAAAAGAAGAAGGATAAGCTTCATTGCATTATCAAAAGTAGATCAGAAAGTGCTAGGACCATAGTTAGGGAAAACTATTATATTATCAAAAATATATATGATTCCAAATTATTTGAAGGGCTGTCCCAGGAAGAGAGATTCTTCTATTTCATTCCCGATGGCAGAGCTAAGGCTACTCACTGGGAACTCGAGAGACGCAGAATTCAGCGTGACGCCTGTGCACATTTGTTTCAACGACACTCTCCTGGGCTGGAAAACAGGGATGCCAGAACGCCACGGAGCCCATGAGGCTGCAGTGAGGACTCAACACAGCAATGTCGAGGAAGAACCTTGGCAGAGTATTTCAAATACTCAGAGTTTTCAAAGATACACTTAATCTTTTAAGAGTCCTATTCAGATTTCCAAAAAACGGTTAATTTTAGTTTACTGCTAGAACTATTTAGCATTCTTAGAATGCACATAATTTCCAACCGGCTGTACTATTCGACAACAGTTTTGAATTCTTACCGCCAGAGACACCGACTATGGTTTACTCGCGCCAATGTCTCAGCCTCCCTTAACGCCGGCCGCTGTGGTCCGCATCCAGAGTCTGAAGTCTCACGTCTACGCACCCTAGCTCTTCTGCGGAAGCTCTCCGGACTTTAAGAAAGACAGCTGTGGCTTAAAATTGGCACCGTTAATACACTTAAATGTCCCATGTTGTTGAGTTTTGGGAGGGGCCTGCAAGGTTGCTAGTAAGACAAAGAGCATGTGAAGTTGAGCCAGGAAAAGAAAAGACACCCAAACACCCCTCCCCCCCCCACACACACAGTTACACCCCTGAAAACAGAGTGCTATTTTAGTTAATACATTTATTACAGCAGGTCTTTAGTCATTATTGTCATGAAAACTTTTTCATGACATTTCACAAAATCCTTTAAGCTATTAGTATTAGCTTTTCTCTTTTTATGGAGTGACACTTTGTTAATTTATGAAATATTTACAGCGTTTACAAAAAGCAAGAGAATGTCTAATAAAATTTCTTATACATACAAAATTTATACACGATACTACTGTATTTGAGATGTCTTATTTGGTAGACCAATTAAGCTATGACATAAAATAATTTACAAAGATATATATTTAATCTCTTAATTCATTGAAAACAAAACCATATTAGCTATAAATAGTCCTTTACAAATCACTGTAAAACATTAATTGTTTTAACTCTAGCCTTAACTTTTACAAATATACTTAACTAAATGAATTAGTTCAGATATCAAATAGAACTGCATTTGAAACTTCATTTACCACTAGTACTATTACCAAAAACAAAAACAAAAACAAAACAAAAAAAACTCCCCAAAAACCTGAAAAAGCAAACTGCTGGGTACATTTCAAGTAAAAATTTGTAGAACCAGTTTAATGCACGCTTGGGGGGAGGGGCATCCAACACCATGTAAATTGAAATACAATACTTTCAAGAATACGCTCAACAAATGTACATCTGTGGCTTTTATTTCAAAGAATGATGCTCTAGCAACAGCTCATACATCCAAGGTGGTCAACCCCACACTTTGGCAGATAAGCTGGTCTGACTAGAGCGACGTTTGCGAAAACATTCACCAAAGCAGCATAATGCCCCCGACATCCTCAAACAGTGCTATATAAGGGGGTTTCCACAACCTGAAAATGGAGCAGAATTTTAGGCAAGCTCATGGAAGAACTTAGAAAATAGAACTGGCAAAAAATTTTAAAAAAAAATCATGTTTGACTGGGCCCCATCAGTGTAATATAAAAATATGCTCCTCTTGAAAATTAGGGGAAAACACTTCAGATTCCAAAATTTCAAAATAACGAAAAACTCATCTACACAGCTATTTCTCTTTAAGCCACCACTGACGATGGTATAAAGTTTGGCAATTATTTAAACACCTTGCTTTTGGATGATACCTCAGAAGATGAGCTCGATCTGGTTTTGGCAATAACATCTTTCACATTTGGGCTCGTTTTACTCCAAAGCAACTATTTAGAAGCAGCCTAAGGAAAATCCGGTTCACAAACATATTTTTTCACTTAAGTTTAAAATCATGTCATTCCAATTAAGCCCACAAAATACGTATTGTATACACAGTATTTCGAAAGAGGTAAATTCAATTTCAATTTTATCTTTCAAAAACTGTTCTTGAAAGGTGTCAGGATTTTCCAAAACCCCATCTTGGCTCCTTTCTTCTGATTGCCCTGTAGACACCAGTTTTCTTGTAATATGTATTCTAGAAGGCACATATTCAAGAGTTTAAGATTCTGTTAGTTCAAGTTCTACACGGAGGCAATTATTTTAATCTACTTTGTACAGAGGCCCTAAATGAACGTCAACCATCTCCTTTATTCAGAGCTCTAACGCGGCACCGGGGTTCCCTCTCAGAAGTGAGTGTGCACGTGCGGCATCATCTGTGAAGGACCAGAAGGCGAAGTCGAGGGATCGGAGAGCTTGGCCGAGCTGGCAAGCTGCAGTTCCTCGAGCCGCTGTATGTATTCGTCGCGCAAGGCCAAGAGCTCCACGTACCGCTGCTCCACTGGATTGGGCTGCTAGAAAGAAGCACAAACGGGTGTTACAAGAAACCCTCGTACTGACCTTTAATGTACAGATGCCAAAAATACAGAAAAGTACAAGGGTAAAACACCCAGCTCTTCGCCACCAAGAAAGCAGCTCCTGTACACGTGGGCTTGCCATCTTTTTAAGGTTTATCAACCCAGACACAGCTCCGGTCTCCTGTGTCCCCCGGCCCCAGGCCCACTGCCCTCTTTCGTTCCCAGAGGCAACAACTCTTCTCAAATTGGCGTGTGGCCTTCTTTCCTGTGCAGATTTATGATACTTTTCCTATACATGAGTATCTGGAAACAAAATACGCTATTATTGTCTATCTTGTGAAAGTTACATTAATGGTGGTATTCTGTATTTATCACCTGGCATTTTCACCCATGTTTCTGAATTCGATCCCGGTTGAGTCCCACTGAATGAATAAAGCACAGCTGATTTCTGCACTCCCCCAGCGACAGATACCCGGGGGTGTCCAGTGCTCCCCCTACTACGTGCAATGCTGTGTTGTCCTCGTGCACATCCGCTAAATGGTTCTTGAAGGCCGTTTCCTGGGGGTGGGGGTGGGGCCTGCCGGGGAGGACAGCATGGTCTCTTCAGCTTTATCACATGCTGCCGAACGTTCTCTGACGTGGTGGTATGACCTTACACTCCGTCACTAGTGATGTCTGGTGCTCCACGTCCTCATCGGCGCTTGGGATACAAGAGTAATGGTTTTCTGGTTTGGGCCAATCTGGTGACTGTAAGGTGGCATCTCGGGACAGCTTTACTTTGCACCTCTTTTCACGTGCTACTGCCCGTGTCAACTCAGAGCTGCGAGCCGCACGGCCGACGCCCGTTAGCTCAGGGTCAGTCTCGGGTCTGCCTCTTACCAGCTGCAGGACTTAACCTGGATGCCTCCATTTCCCCCACCGGTGAAATGGGACTAAAAACGGCACAGACCTCACGGGATTGCTGGGAGAGCGAGGGCAGCCAATACGGTCAGTTCTGCTTCATTGATGAATGGGGGGTCTCGCAGCGGTCCGGAGGTTAGAAGTCAGGTTAGAACCGAAAGTGATGCTCCCGAGCGTGCGGACTTTTTACACCTTTGTACTGATGTATGAATTACAGACAGGAATGTGTACAGAGCTTAAAATGTTCAGCTCAGTGAGCCTTTACATAGACATACACTAATGTGATCACCCACCCAGGCCAAGATACGCGATAGGACAGCCCCCAGAAGACTCCCTCACCAGCGTGTTTTGAGGTGATTAAAGGCAAGCTCCTAGAAAGCTTGAGCAGTATATGAAGACATTAAGAAAAAGGCCAAAAGTCTACGGAAGTGCATTCCTTCAGCGCTAGTGGCTTCTGGAACCATTCTGCTTTCCACCGCGTTACGCTATGAGCCCCAACATGGAAGCTGTGGAGACAACGCACTGATGAAGCAGGCCGCACCCTGGCCTGGGTCCGTAATGTGGAGGAGAGCGGGCTGCACCAGAGCCTCGAGGAGACAGCAGGAACCCTGGGGGTTAAGACTGTGTCTGAGCTTCCTGGGGCTGCCATAACAAATGAACACAAAACGGGGGGGCGGGGAGTGCTTAACACAACAGATAATGTATTTTCTCACAGCTCTGCAGGGCAGAAGCCTGAAATCAGGCTGTCAGCAGTGCTGTGCTCCCTCTGGAGGCTCCAGGGCAGGCTCCTTCCTCTCCTCTTCCAGCTTCGGGGGGGCTCCAGGCTTCCTTGGCTTGTGGCTGCATCCCTCCCACCTCCTCTGTTTCCACAGCGCCTCCTCCCCATAAGTGTCTGCGGCTCAAATCTCCTTCTGTTTTCTCTTGCAAGGACACCTATCACGCGATGTAGGGCCCACTCCAAATCCAGGAGGATGGCATCTTCAGATCCTTAACTTATTAACATCTCTAAGGACCCCTTTCCCAAATAAGGTCACATTCCCAGGTTCAGAGTGGACATGTCTTTTAGGGGGACACCATTCGACCCACCACAAGCTGCCAAGGAGTGGTCGACAGAGGCCAGATAAAAATGCCACAGACATGTGATGGTGCCCGCGTTTCTAGTGGCACTGGTGTTTCTTTTTCTTTGCTTTCTTTTTTTTTTTAAAGATTTTACTTATTCATTTGTGAGAGAAAGAGAGCGAGAGATAATGCACACAAGCAGGGGGAGCAGCAGAGAGAGAGGGAGAAGCAGACTCCCCACTGAGCAGGGAGCCCGATTCTGGGGCTCGATCCCAGGACCCTGGGATCATGACCCGAGCTGAAGGCAGATGCTTAACCAACGAAGCCACTCAGGCATCCCTTTCTTTCCTTTCTTTTTTTAAGATTGTATTTTTAAGTCACCTCTACATCCAACGTGGGGCTCGAACTCACAGCCCTGAGACAAAGGGTTGCATGCTCTCCCGACTGAGCCAGCCAGGGGCCCGCACTGGTGTTTCCATTAGAGCTCTGGTTACAAACGTCCACAGGTTGGAAGAGGTCTCCTCCTTGCTCCTAATCCTGTTCTTCCTGTAAGCCCTGTTTCTTTACTGTGACTGCAGAATGTGAAGTTTTTCAGAAAGGCACATGTGGCATTAGAACAGGAATGCTTGGGGGCACCTTGGTGGCTCAGTCGGTTAAGCGTCTGCCTTCAGCTCAGGTCATGATCTCAGGGTCCTGGGATCGAGTCCCGCGTCGGATTCCCTGCTCAGCGGGGGGGCCTGCTTCTCCCTCTCCCTCTGCCCTCCCTGCTTGTGTGTTCTCTCTCTCTCTCTCTCTCTCTCGTGCTCTCAAATAAAGTCTTTAAAAAAAAAAAAAGAACAGGAATGCTTGGTAGAGTGTGTGACACCCAGTAGATACTGTGCACAACCTGCTAATGTCTTTTGTCCATTTTTCTCTGTATATTCAGCTGAGGGCAGCCACTGTTCTGGGCACTTGGGATCCATCAGTGAACAAAGGAGGCCCAAATCCCCATTTTTATGGCATTTTCCTTCCAGCAGAGGGAGACAGACAAGCAAAGAATACCACAAGTCTGAGTTCCAGGGGGTGTTCAAAGGTGAGGAACATTCTGGAAAGGAAGCAGACCAGGGTAAGAGGTGCAGGACTGGTGGGATGCCGCTCAGGCCTTGGAAACCACTGCAGGGACCTGGGCTTTGGTGCCGGGTGAGGTGAGCAGCTCCGTGGACAGTTTTGTGTGGAGGGGCGGTGGGATGCGGGATGTACTTTATAAGGATCGCTCTGGCTACCATGTTGAGAACACACCAGAAGGAAGGAAGGGAGTCCAGCTAGAAGGCGAGGCAGCACCACACGGCCTGCACCAGGCCGGCAGCGGGGGGACTGGTACGGAGGGTCTGGGGTCATATGGGCTTTGAAGGCCGAGTCCAGCAGGCTCTGCCGACAGACTGCAAAAGGGGTGCAAGAGAGAAGGGAGTCGAGGAGGGCTCCCCGGTTTCTGGCCAGAGTGACTAGGATGGAGTTGCCAAGAACCAACATGGGAAAGATGGCAGGAGGAACAGGTTCTGCGGGACCAGGAGGCCCATTTTAGACATGTCCACGTTGATCTGCTGTGCGAGGCCAGTTTACCATCGCCGGTCCTTCCGTCTGCATCAACCTACCGGGGCTCCCCACCTGTGCAGTCTGCTTCTGGGCTCGACCCCTGCAAAGAGCGGGACAAGCTCTTCCTCGATATTCTCCTCCAAAACTGTCCTGGCTATTTTTTAAATTTCCCTTTTTTCAGATGACTATTAGAATCAGTTTGTTATTGTACCAGCAAGGACAATTAGACAAGAAAAAGGAATCAGAGGTAAAAAACCATTTCTGCAGATGACAAGGCTGTATAATTAGAAATCTCAAGAGAGTAGACCAAAAAATGATTCGAAATGAAGAGAATTCAGTCTGGTGATGGGTACAAAATATCCAGAAGCCATTAGCCTATAGACAAACACAAACCACTGAGAGGCTACAAGGAAAGAGTCCAAAAGGCAAAATCACAAGAAATGAAGTTTAAAGTCAAGCGGCTGCAAAAGCTACAGCCCGGCCTCTCCCCGGGACCGAACGCAAGTCCAGAGTGTGCTCAGCGCAGCACACGACACGGGCTATGGAAGGATCTCGGCCTTCAAACAGCTTTCAGAGGCCCACTCCTTTTGGCGTTCCCCTCAGAAATGACTGAAGCGCCACACGGGTCAGCCTGTTCCTATCTGACTGTCCCTGTTCTCATCCTGTGGCGATCACTGTGCAAAGATGTGAGCTCGCCAGCGTGGGCCTGCTTAACCGCTACCGGAGGGCGGCAGCTGCTGAAGGATACATAATAGGAGGCGCCCCGGCAGCCCAAGGCCTCATTCAGGCTTATAACGGGACTCATGGAACACTTTTGCTTCCGGCATGAGCAATTCCCTCACCTTAATACATGTACCAAACGGGCTTCCCGATAGCTCTTCAAATGTAAGCACTGCTCTTTCCGTCCACTCCGCTCAGTTTTTATGTCGCAGCAATGGTTGGTGGTTTTTGCTTTTAAAAAGCACACTGACCCTGCCTTCTTCTAGGCCAGAGCTCATTAGAGGGACGGGCTGTGTCTGCTAGGGTATTGCAGTGCTGTGAATGCGACAGGTACCCAGTAATTGTTTGTATACCAACTGGGCCACACAACTGAACAACAATTTAACTTTTTTTTTTTTTAAAGATTTTATTTATTTATTTGACAGAGAGAGAGAGAGAGCACAAGCAGGGGAGTGGCAGGCAGAGGCAGAGGGAGAAGCAGGCTCCCCGCAGAGCAGGGGGAGCCTGATGTGGGACTTGATCCCAGGACCCTGGGATCATGACCTGAGCTGAAGGCAGTTGCTTAACCAACTGAGCCACCCAGGTGCCCAACAATTTAACTTTTAAGTGGTTAAGTATATTCCTTGAGGTTTACTAATTTAAAAAGTCCTATGTGATCCGATTAAAATCTATTTCTGAATGAAATAATGTTCTACAGGAGATCTTTAAGGAAATGTAATGCATTTAATTCACACCTTCCATGATGACATTTCTCCCCGAGCACTACCATCACCGGCTTATGTTTCTAGGCACCCTGTGTGCTCCACAGCCCCTCCCCTCGCCGCCCTGAAAATACAAAGATATGTGTAGTACCCTCCACGTTCAGAAAAATCTATATAGAAAGGATAAGTTACTTTCTTTTTGGAGTAAATTTCACAGATCATAATACAGACCAATTACTGTCTCAAAATAGAAACCTCTATCAAAAAATGTGTGTTCCTAACTGGCCCAGTTCCATTTTTTGCTAACCTCCATAAAAATAAGGGGGTAGATACACTCTAGTAAGTTATTCTAATAATGTTTCTTCCTACTTGACTTGTCACACAATTATTACCTTTATATGTTCAGAAATGAATTGCTCTAAATTCCCTGTATTTTAAGAATTTCTCCAAGTACAAATGGGTGAGGGGAGATTAGAGAATCTATACAGAAATTGGTGATACTTTCTAATTACTAATGTTTTAAAAAAAGGTCACAATAAACACAGAAAAGGGTCAATTTATAGGAGACACTGCACATTTCATTGGGTTTTTTTTTTTTTTTTTATGAGAAAAGGAACATGTTCTCTGTAACAGCAGTTAGAACCCTGGCAAAATTCCCATTTCCTCTTTACTTGATATTCCAAAGGCTAGAACTACTGCTAAATAAATTCCCTCACTGTGCTTCTCAAATCTCAAACTAAACAAGTGAGTGTTCTCAAGCCCTGGACTCTGTCACTTTCCGAGAGATTACACGTTTCCACCATTACTGAATTGCAGAAGCCTTCCATGCGATCAGCAGAGACCTTGAAACGAGAGTGCCAGCTTGAAGCAGGCATTCCCCAATGGAAGAGAGGGCACAGCCTGGCGTGCAGCCAGCTGCCTGAGTGGGATAAACAATCTAAGAGACAGAATGCAGCACCCGGGCCCTGCTGTTGCCCCGCGATTTCGAGCGGGATTAAAGCTGGCACTTACGCAAGACTGGCCTGTGAGAACAGGTAGTTGGCCGTCCAAACTGCAGGAAAATGTGCAAACCTTTACAAAAGGGCAATCGCAAATACTGAATATTTCTAGCCCTGAAAACACATCACAAACTGGAGGCACTTCCGAGCCCTTACACACAGGCTGTGTTTCTCTTCTGATTTTGGATAAAGTGGAGGTGGGAGAATGGAAAGCCCGAGTGTGTCCTTAACAAAATGGGGACTCTTTTGCTTCAAAAATCATTGTTTCTCTTTTTGATTGATAAATGGCCAACTGAATGTACTATCCACTGACAGATCAATTATCTTTATTTTAGAAGTAAATATCCTCAGTGAAATGCACTCTGATGTTAGCTGACCCAGTACATACACCTGAAGCAGACAGAAGAAAATGTTTTTTTTCCCTGAGGATCATCAAAGTCTACTCACTGGAAAGAATTTTCTTATTATGTGTAACAATGTCCACTAACTGAAGGAAATCCTTAGCAATCAAGACTCAAAAATTTTCCAGAGCTTCCAATCATTTTACATTTTAGTAAAAAAAAAATTACATTATTTATAAGAATATAAGTTTAACACCAATCAAAATAAGTAGCTCAGTAATTAAAACAATTTTTAATTAAAGTTGCATTTGAAAGCAAGTGTGATTTTTTTATTCCCCCCCTCATAATATGAAAAAAAAAACAACAAAAAAAAACCCACTACCGAGTAACATTAATCTAAATCCAGAAGTCATAATCAGTAGACATCACTGCATTTTAATAATGTCACTTCACTTACTTGTTGCTTGATTCTGGGGTTCCATCTAATGTAGTAATTCACCCAAAGTTCCAAGTGACGCATACTGGCAACTGGATATAGAACTCGATTGATTTCTTTAGTATAGAAGGGATTTTTGAATTTGTCCTTATTACTGTTTATCAGCGACCATAAAGATACTGTTCGTTCTGTAACTTTCTATGGAGAAAGAGAAAGCAGGAAGCCTAAGTAAAAACATACAAGTACACAAACCATTTTTCAGCCTCAACTTGAATCACACATTTACATTATCCCCATAATAGCTCAAAAAGCCTCATGGGCCAGTGAGTGTTCAGCAGCCACTTACTGATATTTGCATAGATAATGGCCATTAAATGCAATTCACTGACCTAAGACGACTATTCCTGGCTAGGTAAAAGATTTATGAACAGATGGGCAGCATGCTCTTTATAATTCAGCAGAAAGAAAAATTATCATAAGATCCCATCGGCTTTCTTCATTTTTGTATTTGTTAGAACTGTAAAATCTTAACCTGTGCCTGCTTGACAGTAGGTATCTAGATATAAAGGTTTTTTAATCAACCACCCAGATGTTCGCTCTCTATCATGCCAACGTGCAGATATTTGAAAACACGTGGATAACTGACTTCACTGAATCTTTACTTTCTCATTTGGTGTCCATCAGCTCATACAGATATTCACATTTTCATTGTTTATTAGAGATTTTTACCAATTTTGAGCGTAAACTAGAAAAAAACCCCAAAGCTTGGGAAATAAAAGGTACAATTATTAAAATTATCGAAGGCAGACTTTGAAACTCTTCCCAGTAATGACTTCAATAAGAAAGGACCAATAAGCTAAAACTGGCAGCTAAAAAAGAACAGCTTAAAATAAGTGACTGAAGAAATGTCTTTAACATACATATTTCATTAACGTGACCAAGAAATATGGCAGCATAAATTTGTCTTCCTTGGAATCCACCTAAAACTTCATTCACTTGTACAAGCTATACTGTGTTGAGTTCATTTGCATGCTTGCTTTTATTTTTGTACATACACATAGTTTAAAAAGTCAAATAGCCTGACCAGGTTTGTTATGAGAAAAAAAAAACAAAAAACCCAGCTATCTCTCACTTCCCCACAAGCAACTGTGTTTGATTTTTTTTTTTTTTTTAATTGATCTATTTGACTATCTGGTACTTAACCTCCACATCTCTAGATAATATGCTTTCCTTGCTACCCGGGGGGCTGTGGAGCTACAGGCACTTACTTTGTCTGTCCCGCCTCGTACTCCCAACACGCACCATAGCTCTCATGAGACTGACATTTAGTGCCTGGATCCCTATGATGAAGCAAATGCTACTCTCAGGCAGGCCCCACAGTCCCTTTCTGTGATTTCTTCTCCCGCACGAATTTTTTTGTCTTCCCTCGATTTAACAACTATCTGTTCTGTGTGCTAACTTTTCTTGGCATTTATCATGAATTCAACCCCCAACTCTTCCTCCAACGTCTCAAACTTGTGTCAAGACCCTCAGCACCTCTGGCGTCCCCGGTTTCTTCCTCAGAGGAAAGCAAGCCACACTGCTTGCCCCCGCGCCTCGTGCCCGGCCTGCACCTACGATCTCCTTTCCGTTTCGCCCTGAGCATCCCGTTGCCTCTCTCTCCTGAGTTCCACAGTCTTTCTTTTTTTCATTATTATTTTTTAAGATATTTATTTATTTATTAGAGAGAGA